CAGGGGCCGGTGGCGGTCCCTCCCGGGGGGGGGAGGGAGAGAAGCCGCCACCCCCCCCAGAAAAAATAGCAACAAAGCAGCAAAAAAGGAGAGGAAAAAAAAAAGGGAGAAAAAAATGCAGCAAAAAATGTAGCCGCGTGGGTCCTCTGCTGCCCGAGGGCATCCCTTTCCCCCCAAGGTGGAGGCAGGGAGAAGGTGGGAGAGGGGGGACAAAGGACGGGAGTGAAACCCAAGAACGCGCTAATTCCCCGCCTGGATTCCCGACGTCTCCCCTAACCTGGAAAATATTCCGCTCCAGCGGCTGCGCGGCTTGCGGCGGGGGGCGGGGGGGGGGGGGGGGGGGGGGGGGGGGGGGGGGGGGGGGGGAAAAAGAAAATGAAAGGTAAAGAAAAAGTAAGGGAAGGAAACAGAGGGATTAAAAATGCAAAAAAATTCACTAACCCCAACATCTCAGAAAAAGAGGACTAAAACCCGAGTGCAGGTGGCGGCCGCCTCACTCGCTCCGCGTTTGCTCCGCGTTTGCTCCGCGCTCCGTGCCCTGGATGTGGCATTTTATTGCCGGGCTGGTCCCACCCCCTCCAGCCCCCTGGCCCCGGCCCCGGCCCCGGCGAGCTCGCAGCGGGAGCGCAGGGGTGTTGCTCGCTCACCTGGGGGATTTTGCAAGCGAGAAAAGCGCCCGGCTGCTTGCAAAGCTGCCAAACCGCCCCGGCCCCGCAGCGCGGCCGCAAAGCCCCGGAGATCCCAGGCATTTTGGCGGATAACGCCCGGTGGGGGATCCCTGCGGCGCCTTTGCCCCGGCATCATCGCTCTAAAACAGCCCCCGGCGATGGCGGCGTTTGCTTTGGCTCTGGGCCTGGGGGAAAGCGGGAAGATTAACGGCTAAGGCGAGGTGAAACCCCTGAGAAATTTGGCCCGCTTGAAGTGTGATGAATTGTCGCCTGGGGTTTTAATTTGGGGCTGGCAGCCTGCGCGAGGGTCTCGTGCAAGATCCTCCAGGTGGAAAATACAGGTTCATTGTCTGGAAAAGCTTTGTTTGCTTCGGGTTAAAGTGGAAACGGGGAAAGCGGGAAGATTAACGGCTAAGGCGAGGTGAAACCCCTGAGAAATTTGGCCCGCTTGAAGTGTGATGAATTGTCGCCTGGGGTTTTAATTTGGGGCTGGCAGCCTGCGCGAGGGTCTCGTGCAAGATCCTCCAGGTGGAAAATACAGGTTCATTGTCTGGAAAAGCTTTGTTTGCTTCGGGTTAAAGTGGAAACTGAGGCACAGGGCATTGCTGCAACGTGGGGGCAGGTCCTGCTCTCCCACCCCGGCGCACTGCGAAGCACCAAAGCTCCCATGGGACCATCTGCATCCAGGTTCCCCCATTCCCTCCACTGGCCTGCGCTGCTCCATGGAAATCCCTGTGCTGGCTGCTAGGAGCAACCCTCCTCCCAGCCACATCCCCCTCGACCCCAGATTTTTGCACGTTGACTTTCGCCAAGCCAAGTCCTGGCTTGCCGCGTGCTCCTAATCCCCCGGCGAGCCGGATTGCTGACAAAGAGGGCGAACGTGGCTTTGCCTCCAGCGTTGCGGCCGCACGGAGCTGTGCCTAGGGAGCGAGCACGGGATGGCCACGGGCAAAGGGGGAATTGCATCGGAAAACAGGAGCACGACCAGGAGCACCGTGCGCCCACCCGGCACCATCCGCGCGCGGTGTTTTTGGGAGAGAGGAAGCATCAACCCAGCCCCTCTGTCTAATGGGGCAGCAACTGCCTCCTCCCGGTGTAAAACACACAAAAAAACCCCAGAAAAGGGTAAAAGTGGCTTGTTTCAGCATCCGGGTTGGCCACCCCCAGCCAGGCGCTGTTTGCCCCCACGTTTACCCGGCTCCTGGCCCCAACGTGCTGCCCTCCTGGCTCAGGACTGCACTGTGACCTGGCCCGGGGCGGAAATCCACTGGGATTATTAATAACGGATTTGAGGGAGAGGGAACGAGCCTCCAGCAGCCCCACATCTGGAAGGAATTCCACTAGAAAGGGTGGATAACTCTTGTTTTTTTTTTTTTTTTCCATTCTTCTCACCCCTCCGCTTCCCTCTCCTTTCCCTTCCCTGGAAAGCCCTGGGGCGGGCGGCCCTTTCACAGACAAACATTCCAGCTCCCATCTTCAAATAAACCCAAACGGCCCCGCGGATCCGCCGATAGCCCGCGAGGCCGCGGCACTTAGGCACGGATTAATCCGGAGACGCGGAGGCAACGGGCAAAGAGCAACGTCTCCCGACCCAACGGCTGGATCAGCCTCTGGAAACAGACGGCAGGGGCCTGGATCGAGCTGCTAAA